GGAGGTAGAAATAAGATCAGAAAAGTTCAAGACCCTGCTCAGGGGTTACGTATAATGAGTTTGAAGTCAGCCTGGGATACATGAAACATAATCTGTTTTTGTTCTTGCTTTTTTTTATTTGAGACTGGGTTTCACTATATAGCCCTTGCTGCCATGGAAGTCACTCTAAACCAGACTGACTTTGAACTCAAAGAGATCCACTTGCCTCTGCCTCCAGGGTGCACCACCATCACCCAGCAGTGAGACATAGTCTGGAGGGGGAAAGTCGAGGTTTTTAAATTATATGAATATGACTGAAACTACATAGTGTGCCTCAGTTATTTCTCAACTTTGACTTATTTTTTCACAAAGCTAATTGAATATACTCTCATAACAGTGAAAATAACTGGATTTGGGCAGGGGGGGGAGGGGGGTGTCCACTTAGATGATCTTTAGATAGATCTCTTGCTCCATGTGATGGCACATACCTGTTATTCTGGTACTTGGAAGATGAGGCCAAGAGATCCTGAGTTCAAAGTCATCTTCAGAGACTGTAATCAACTTAGGCTGTAAGAGACCCTGTCAAAAAACAAAATCAAACAAACGGGGCAGGGATTAAATTAAATAGTACCTTAGCAAGTACTTTATATGACATCTCAAGCAAAAAGTATAAACTTCTAGACTATATAAAGCATAAATTCACAATTGAGGGGGGAACCTACTTTTTTTAAGCATAGGTTCACCATTAGAAAAAAATAACTCAGTTTTCCATACTGTTGTTTTAAAAAACAGCGGGAGAAAGAGTCATGCTATCATGCCACAGAGCTCTCGTGGACAGTTTTTTATTGAGGGAAGGGAAGTGGAAAAGAGGGGGGAGACCAGCTGCTGGGGGACAGGAGAGGCAAGGAGAGGGAGAGAGGTGGGAGAGGGAAAGAGATTGGGAGGTGGGCAAGGCCTGTCTTTTATAAGGTAATGTATTGAATGTGCATAGGAGGTGCTCTTAGTGGTTGCAGCTGAGGATATATGCTGTCAGGACCCCAAGGACAGGCCAGTACAGGTACCTGAATACTAACACATACCCCCAAAACTGGCCCATGTATAGCAGCAACTCTTAGGGATCTAATTTGAGGATTGTGTAGAAGTTAGCTTCCCTGGATTCATCTTGAACTCATTGTACTTGAAGCTTCTATTCTAAAGGAATGAGTTATGTTTATAGTAGTTTGTAGTGATTTTGTAAAAGTTTAAAAATATAAAAAAATAAGCCGAGAGATGGGGCTCGTGCCTGCACAATGGATCATGAACCGTGGAGGGTACATTAAAGGTAAAGTTTATTACAGGTGGGAGGAGAGACCAGAACAGAGCAGAGAGGAGAGAGGGGTGGTCGACCAACGGGAAAGACAGGAAGAGGAGAGAGCCAAGATGTGGGCTAGGGTTAAAGGGGGAGCTCCTGCATGCGCATAGTCCCTACACAGCCCTGTAAGGAGTGACATAGCCATGACGTGGCAACGCAACACAGGGCCCTTTGTGCTGCTTAGGTATCTGCCTGAACCTTTCAGTATTATGTTGGCATCTCACAGGGCTGAGTAGTTACTACTTGGCTTGTCTTAGTAGACAACTTGGTGTGTTCTCTACGCACTGTATTTGAAGTGGTGAGGCGGAGATGAAATATGATGGACCAGGGTTACCAGGCCCTGCTCCAGCACCCTCATTTTAGGGAAGTGTAAGAGAAGTCTGCACTTTGTCCTTCCTGGTGATTACTTGGAGTGATCATGTAAGACTTGACATTTCAACTTTGTTGCGTGTTCGTGGAACAGAAGCAACCTTTTAAGATACGGAAGAGAAGGTTATTTGGAATCAGTTTTATGTAAATTGAAAACTGAGACGTTTTGAAATTTTATTAAGATTGTATAATTATATCCAAACCCCTTTATTTTATTAGTGTTTTATTATGATCCCTGGAAAACTGGGCAGGTATCTCAAAATTGCAGTATAAGTCTCATGTCTGAGTCTTAAGAGACTTGGCTCTATTTTAAGCTACACACACACACACACACACACACACACGTACGTACGTACGTCCATTTATGGATATTTATCATGAAAATCCGGTTGCTCTGAGACATTCATTCTTTCATTATTTTGCTTGAAAAATGTACATCAGAATAGAACCAGCTAAGCCGGTTGGATATGTCTGTGGTATTTGTGTTCCATGTGGGCTATAAACACAGTTCCTGCTGAATTCTTGCCTTGAGGTCCTTGGCCCAGAAGCTGGCTTACCACCTGTCTACAGGGAGAGCCTCTAGAGTAAAAGCAGTTGCATTTAAACTATCCCCACTTCACGAAGTTAATTTGGGTAAATTAATTTCATTTACAAACTCAATTCTCTCAATTCCAAATGTAGCTGAGCTTTCCTATTTGTATTTTGTTTTTAAACAAACTAAACTGGATTTTTATATAGCCTGGGGCTATGCTTGAGCCTCCTACCTTCACCTCCTCATGTATTAGAATTACAAATTTGGGACACCACCCTTGACAACTGTTTTCTTTTACAGCTTTAGCATCTCTTCCCCTCATCTGCATATGTATTGTCCTATTTCAAGAACACTTATCTCAGAGTCTGTTCTTCCATCCGTTGTCTTGTGTCTCACAGGAAGTATTTTTTCCCTGTCCAAAGGGCTTGATTGGAGCTAGGCATTGGTGGTACACTCCTTTAATCCCAGCACTTAAGGCAAAAAGGCAGGCGGATTTCTGAGGACAGTCTGGTCTAGAGAATGAGTTACAGGACAGCCAGGGCTACACAGAGAAACCCTGTCTAGGGAGGTTGTGGGGGAATGGCATGATGGGGAATGTTTGTGAATTCACGTGGGTACATCATAGTCCCATGTCACTGAAAGCTCACAGTGGAAAATCTGGAAAGGTCTTAGTTTTTGAAGTGTAGAATTGGACTAGTTTAGTAGGGTTTGAAACTAGGCACTCTGGAAAACATCAGCAGGTATATATAGTATGATACAGGCAAGGCTGGATGTCTTGACTATCCTGATTGGGCCATACTTGGAAAGGGTCATGGAGTCACAGCTGCTGTGTGTATTTGAATCCCACCCCCACAATCAGAATCTCCAGGGCTGGGGTTACTTATTTACACACACACACACACACACACACACACACACACACACACAGCCGACATGCTACTGGGATTCTTGTATAGCTGGATGAGCCATAGAGAATCACTGATGCAGTCAGAATGAATGATTGTATTGAATAGTGGCCACAGAGAAACAATAATGATTTTGGTCTTACTAATGGACAGGAAAAGAGGTCTCTCAAAGTATCAGAGCCCTTGTGCTCGCAATAAAAAAGCTTAATTAAAATAGCTCATCAATATACTGGAAGAATAATAAACCGTCATGAAAGGGAATGTCAGTATTGGGAATTTATCCGTGCTCTGTTACATGACCAAATTATAGCCTTGTCATTACAGCAATCACGTCTCCTTTCTGGCAGATTTCTTGTTGGGCTCTTTGTGTAACCCAAGAATGAAATTCATAGATAGCATTATGTCCATCTCATAGTTTAATAGGGTCTGTAAACATTTTGTTTGTAATAAACATATGTTTTTATCTATGTGATTCTACCCTCTGTGTTCTCCTTGCTGTGTGATTTTCAAGAAATTGAAGGGTTGATCTTCAGAATATCCTACTAATCTGTTTAGAAGGAAAAATACATTTACAGATACTCTGGAAGCAGTGTGTTAGCCAAGTAACCAGGGAAAATGTACTTGACTATTCATGCATAATACACTCAAAAGAATTGCAGATGAATAATAATTAGAGTTAAAGTCTTGAAAAGTATTTAAAGAAGAAGATAACAGCGGGAGAGATGGCTCAGCAGTTAAGAGCACTGGATGATCTTCAGGTGGACTGGGTTTGATTCCCAGCACCCCTGAGGTCTCTATAGTTCTAGGGGATCTAATACTCTCTTGTGGTCATTGTAGGTACCTAACAAAAGTGGTGTATAGACATATATTCAGGCAAAACACTTGTGTGCATTTTTTTTAAATTAATACAAAAAAATTTAAAGGAAGCATTCTTAAGAGATATTTATTAGGGATAGGATTTCTCTGGCTGTCCTAGAACTCACTTTGAAGACCAGGCTGGCCTTTGCTACCAAAGGGCTAATATTAAAGGTGCCATTATGCCTGGCAGGAAGCCACCTCTTTTTTACTATTAAGAAATATGGGCTGAGTGTGTTGCACTTGGGAGGCAGAGGCAGGTGGCTCTCTCTGAGTTTAAGGCCAGGCTGGACTACAAATTGAGTTACAGGCCAGCCATCACTACACAGTGAGACCCTGTCTCAAGAAAGAAAGATCAAATGAACTATGAGTGGGGGATAGAGTACTTACCTACAGGCCAGAGACCCTAAGAGCTACTTACTGTGTGAGCAGCTGGTAGCCTACTCTTTGCTGAGAACCTAAGTGGGCACTGACAACACCTGTTCCAGGCCAGCCACAGGACCCTGGTACCTGTGAGGTTGTAGAGTACTTACCTAGCTTGTGCAAGGGTTCCATCCCTAGAACCACACAGAAATATCTCCCATTACCAGGTTCTAGTTACCCAGTATCTGGGTTTCTCAGGCCCTTGATTTTACACTGCCCCCCCACACACACTTGAGCTTTTAGTAGGTTTGCTGCTAATGAATAGCTCTCTGACAGAGCAGTAGAAATAGCCTGAAAATCAAACTAGGTCTTTCTGCTTGATGCTAGGAGCACTAACGAAAAGGTTCGTGGAGCTGGTTGAATGACAGTGTTATTTGGGAATGATCTATGGGGTATGTTTCTATGTTTTCCATCAAAGAAGCAAACTATATGGCCTTTGGAAAAAATAGATAAAATGGAAGAGAATGCCATGTCAGAATTAGGGAACCCAGACTTGTGTCCTCACTGGGTCACTTCAGTATCCATCTTTTCAACTGTGTGAAACCTCTACCATCCCTTATAGTCTGCTTCTTATGTTCCTTCACAGGTCATGAAACGAGTGCGCACGGAGCAGGTTCAGGTGGCAGTGTCCTGCTACCTCAAACGCCGGCAGTACGTGGACTCAGACGGCCCCTTGAAGCAAGGCCTGAGGCTATCACAGACCCCTGAGGAGATGGCAGCCAACCTCACAGGTACCAGGGTCCTGTGGCTGGCCTGGAACAGGTGTTGTCAGTGCCCACATAGATTCTCAGCAAAGAGTAGGCTACCAGCTGCTCACTCAGTAAGCAGCTCTTAGGGTCTCTGGCCTGTAGGCCTTTCCTGTTTCAAAGCTGTGCTCACTGGACTTCTGAGCCTTCTGGAGCCCCTGGCTAGAGCCATATTTCCTTCCTCAGAGCATCCAGATTGTTTTATATGTACCTGATGGTTTGTGTAACTTTTACTGTACAAGACCCAGAGTAATAGGTTCTCTCTGCTAGCATAGAACTCTGCTCCTAGAAATCAGGTCTATAAGGTGCTTGCATACTGTAGGATTGATGGTTGGAAGCACTTCTGAAATTTTTCAATTTTGGTTTGAAATCATGTTTGCTCAGACCTTTAATCCCAGCACATGGGAGGCCAAAATGGGAGGGAGGGAAGGAAGGTGACTCCATCAAGACTATCAAGTCATTGTTACCATACCTAAAGGTTGTCATCTAGCTGTTTTATGAGTTCAGGGTTTATGTGATAGTTTTCCTGCCTTCCATCTCCCTCTGGTTTTTTGAAACGAGTTCTTATAAGGCCCCTTCTCACCTTGAACTCTCAGCAAGCCTCAGCCTCAGGGGTATGGCACTATGCCTAGCTGATTTTCTTATACTGAATTTCTGAACAGTATTGGTGATTTGATGTATTTCAGTAAATTAGGTGATTCCGAAGGACACACTAATAGCTGTGTAGCATGGAGTTCTCATTGTTTGCATGGCCCAGCTCTGGCTCTTCTTCACATAGCCTGAGTGGCTTCTTCTCCCCTCTTTGTTCCTGGACTTTTACTTTCCTTGAACATACTGCCTCTGCTCCATGCTAGCAGCAGCAGATTCTTTGGTTCCTTTTCACAGCACTGCTAGTGAGTGGCCTGTTTTCCTTTAGGGTAGACTCTCTTTACTGTGGAGAAAGTGATGAAATGTTTGAAACCTGAGTAGGTCCTTGAAATGAGAGTCTTGGCTTCATGGAGGGATAACAGAAGCTGTCAGAAATCTACCTCCATGTTCTGTTAAGGGATACCTGGCTGTTCTTCTCTGTTTCGGTCCCTCAGTCCCAGGTAACTGCCCTGGTGAGCAGTTACCTCCCTGCCTCTAGTGGATTTCTCTCCATTTACCAAGTTTGGAGCAACCTCTTATGAACTGCCACAATTCTTGGAGTGTCCTATTGCTGGGCAATAACTGCTTTTGTTGAGAAGGAGAGAGAGTACTACTGATGGATCTCCAGACATCACTCTGCAGTTTAGATGCAATGGCTTTTCAAGAGGCCAGCAGGAACAGAGAGAAGTTGAAGTGGGCTGGATTTTCTGATTCATGAGTGATTTGAATCATTGGTCTTCACTCTGCAGGCTTTCATTGCACATCTCCTTTAGAACTTGCTAGGATTCTATGGGACTGGAGAGATTGCTCAGAGGTTAAGAGCACTGGCTGCTCTTCCAGAGGTCCTGAATTCAGTTCCCAGCAACTACATGGTGGCTCACAACTGTCTACATGACAGAACACTGTATACATAATAAATAAATCTTAAAAAAAAAAAAACTTAAATTGCTGCTAGAAATACATGCTGCAGTACAGGGTCAGCGAGTAGAGAAAATGGTCCTTTGCACTAGGTTAGCAGGGCAAGAGAGTCTTTCAAAGGCCTGGTACTCTCCAGATTATGGTCATGGTGGCCAGTAGCAGAAGGAATTAGCTGTTTTAAGAGTAATTATAAGGAGCACTCCTGTCAGGTTAAAGGAGGACATTTGAGATCTGGAGATAGATTTCAAGACAGTGACTGGGTGCTAAGTATCATTAAAGGGTCCAAGTTACAATTAGATACACCAGCCAAGAACCAGCATAGTCTGAGGGTAACCTGAAATCTGAAGGACTTTGACTGATGTTCTAGCTATCTTGATTTTGCTGGAAGACAGGAACTCTTCTTTACCTCCCCCCCTTCTTTGTACACTATGTTTTGATTCCTTCAGTTCTACTGTATTCATTACCATCCCTCCATCTACCTTCTAGTGGCTAAATGTGGCATTTTCTTCAGGTCACTGTAAAGATGACATCTTAACCCTTGGCCCCTAGCTTCCATCTGGAAGTCAAGGTTGGTACCACCTAAGTGGGTGCTGGCTGCAAGGAATTTGAGGGCAACCTTTCCATTTCTCCATTTGCAGAGCGTCAAGGGCTCTGAACATTTTGTGAAAGTTTGCCTTAAAGTTAAAATAGGAATCAAGAACAATATGGTGTAGACTCTTCACTGGATGGTTCAGAAAGCTTGAGTTTCTTTTTTAGGAAGCATAATTCAGGCCAAGTATGATGGCATACTCCTGTAATTCCAGCACAAGGGGCAGAAAGATTGAGATTCCCAGGTTAGCTGGGGGCTGCATAATGAGACCCTGTCAGAAAAAAGAAAATATAAAGTCAAAAAGTGCATGTTCGCATGCTAAATATTGAGACCCCAGGCTTCTTCATGTTAGCTGCCCAGAACACTGCAGCCAACCTTATTCCCCAAGAAGGCTAGTGAACAAGTTTGCTGGATTATGACCTGCCCAGGATTACAGACCAAAGACATTCTTTGTGAAACTCTGTTCATGCCCTCCTAAGTGATCAGGCACATTCCCATTATCCCTAAGGTGTCCTGTTTCACTGCCTTGGGGGAAATGTTTCTCTGACCACTGTGCATATCATAGTATTGCGACAAGAAGATAATGCTGCCTAGGGAAAGAGAACATTTTGCCAGGTAGGTGATGATAAAAAGGAATGTGAGCCAAATTAACTCTTTCCTTCTTTGGAAAAATATAAAAAGGAAAATCAACAAAAAGGTTGAAGATTAGGCTAGGTGTGGTGGTATACACCTTTAAATCCAGGGGAGGGGCAGAGGCAAGCAGATCTCTGAGTTTGATGCCAGCCTGCAGTCTTGGGGGGGGGGATTAAAAGTTAAGGAAACCTCCCTATTAGTAAAGCAAAAGGATGAAGTGTAGAGAAAAGATGTAAATGATTTTTAGAACTTCCAACTTTTAAATCAGGAATCTTGGAAAATTAGAAGGCAGGATCAGAAACAAATGAAGACTGTTGCTCTGAACTGGGAGGCATAATACCTCAAATTGACAGACCTAGCACATTGTAACACATCAGCGTAGACTAGATGTTTCAGATGAATTTCAGGGCTATTATGTGCCTATCCTCTCTTAGCTTAATTTATCTGATGCTCTCTAGCTTTTCATTCGTCTGCCCTCGTTTTATGGAGTGTCAGGGGAGAAGAGAGACAAACAAATATTATCAGCCTGCCCCAGTCTCCCAGAGCCCTAGAAAGTCTTACTTAGAGATGCCATTGGACTCTATGCCCTCTGTTTATCCTGCTGCATAGTGCATAGTAACTACATTCTTGCCTCTGTCTTGTGTGTCTCCTCCTTTAGTCCAATCAGAATCTGGTTGTGCCAATGCAGTGTCTGCAGCCCCTTGCCAGGCAGAACCTCAGCAATATGAAGTACAGTTTGGACGACTGAGAAGCTTTCTTACTGGTAAGTCCTTGTTAAGAAACCAAATAATGTAGATATCCCTCAGAACCTCTTGTATTACAAGCATAGTGTTAGGTTCTAGGGAGTCTGGTTCTTTTTTGTTTGGTGGCTGTTTGTTTTTTCAAGACAAGTGTTTCTGTGTAGTCCTGGTTGTCCTTAAACTTGTTCTGTAGACAAAGCTAGCCTCAAACTCAAAGATCCACCTTTCTCTGCTTCCTGAGTGCTGTGATTAAAGGCCTGTGCCACAGTTCTTGTGTACAAACAGAATTTCTGTGAAAGTTAGATCTTGATGTTGAAGTTTGCAAGGATAGAGAGAGAACTCTGTGTGTCCTATTCACTGTTTGCCTGCAGCTTTTGGCTTTTGACTTCTGAATAAATGAAGGACAAATCATCCATAGAGAAAGCATCCTTTAAGTGAAGTGAATTTGAAATGTAGACCATCTTTCAGAGTAGTGCTCATGATTTGGATGAAGAACTTAGCCATTATCAGTTAGGCAGGTCATAGATGAAATGACCACAGAGACACAAAATCAGTGGATTTGTGTTCCATTTGCTTCTTCTTGATGCATTAATGTGAGTTTTTAAAAAACAAAACAAACAAAAAATAAACAGTTGCTTAAGAGGAGCCATTTAGTCCATGGTGGTAGCGTACACCTCTAATCCCAGTACTAGAGAGACAGAGGCAGGCAGATCTTAAACCATGTTTTCTGGTCCTGAGATGGCCAGTATTAACTTAAAATTGAGGAGTTGCAATAAGAGAACCATGTTGATTCTGAGTACTAATCTTGTTGAATTCCTTCTGTAATCACCTTTTATAAGAAATAAAAAAGCATACTCTGCCCTGGAAGGACTGAGAATAATTAGTGGATACTGGTTTAGTGTCACACACATCTAATTCCAGCATTCAGAAGGAAAAGACATGGATTTCTGTGAGTTTGAGGCCAGCCTGGTTTACATGATGAGTTCCAAGCCAGCCAGGGTTATATATTAGTGAAGCCCTGTCTCAAAAAGTATATAAATAATTTGAACTTATCCAAGAATAGTGGCACCTTAATACATGAGAAGAAGGGACATCAGGGACAGTTCGAGAACATCCTCATAGCAAATTTGAGGCTAGCCAAGGCTACAGGAGACCCTATGTTAAAAACAAACCAAAAAAAGGCTAGAGAGAGATGGCTCATTATATAAAGGTGATTGCCGGGAAACCTAACACCCTGAGCTCAATCCCTGAGAGCCACTATAGTATCAGAAGAGAACTAAAATACTATGGGTGCTGGAGAAATGACTGGTTCAGCAAGCAGTTAAAAGCCTTTACTAGGGCTGGAGAGGTGGCTCAGAGGTTAAGGGCACTGACAACTCTTCCAGAAGACCCAAGTTCAATTCCCAGCAACCACATGGTGGCTCACAACCATCTGTAATGAGATCTGGTGCCCTCTTCTGGTGTGCAAGCATGCATGCAGATAACTGTATATATAATAAATTAATAAATAATTTTTTAAAGGGCCTTTACTATTCTAACATAGGAACCGAGTTTGATTCCCAATACCCACTTCAGCAGCTCATAGCTGCCTGTAGCCCAGTTCCAAGGGATTCAACTTTCCTCTGGCTTCATGGGCACCCACTTTGATGTAGCTTGCATGCATGGGTTCACACACACAAATATAAATAAAAGCCTCAAAATTTTAAATAATTTTCCCTCAAGTGAATAGTCCTTGTGTTAATATAATGGTAAATATGCATATGAGGAGATCGACCTAAATTAAGTCTCCATCCATTCTATGTGTAGAGTCATCCTATGTTACTTGACCCCCCATAATAGAGAAACCTATGTTTACATGGTCTAATGTTTTTTTTTGGGGGGGGGGTGGTCATACTTTTATACAAAGTAAAGATTTAGTCAAAAAGCATCCTATGTTTAAACTGAAAGGATAAGACTATTATATCTCAGAATAGCTCTGGACAAGTGGTCCAATGCTGTAATCCTAACACTTGGGAAATAAAGACGGGAAGATCAGAAATTCAGGGTCTTTATGATAAGGATTATATTTGTAGTAAGCAAGAATGTGGAGGTAATGAAGGTTATTCTTAACTAGCTTTGGTTTATTAAGTTTTTAAATGGATATATCTATTGCTCTGCTATGGAGTTTTCTTGCCTTGATGGTGGGGAACAACTTTAGCCTACCTTTAATTCATTCAGCATGTGTTTGGGTTAAGCACTGGCAGGGTGGTATTGTGATTTCCGACACAACTGTTGCCTTTGCAGAATATCCTGTTCAGTGAGGAAGCCCAAACATGATTCAGCCAGACACATGTAATTGTATCATTGAGGGGGGCTCTGTGTTCTCTTGTTCTGGATGTGGTCTGCTCCATAATAAATAATTCTGGGATGACCCAGTATTAATATGTAGTTTTTAGTCATGAAGGTATAGGATAATTTTATCACAGACCAGGCTAATTTATCAGAGAATCCTTCTCACATTGAGTTGGAACTATTGGAGTTTATGCTGGTGCACATTTTCAAGATTGCATCTTAGGTATTTACCTAGGTTCCTGCTCATGCTTTTTGAAAATGGGCTAGGGGAACAGCAGTACTGGCTTGCATTTTTATTTGAGTTACTTAAGCATGAACGAACATTACACTAAATATAAGACCTTTCTATTTCTCTAAAATCCAAATTCATTACAATAAAGGACAGGCAAAACCCAAAAAGCAGTGAAGTTAACAGTGGCTGTTAACAGGTGGATTTTGCTAAGACTAACCTCTGCTGCCCTCCAGTGTCTAGGAACTGTTGTGGCTCTAAGCAAGTTGGACTTGGCTCAGTTGTTTGGTACATGTGCCTTGAGGGTGGCTGCCCCTTGCCCCTCACGGTGTATCTACAGAGCCCTACTCTTACACATTCTGTCCTCACTTGCACACATACATAGGTGCCAAGTGCACCTCTTTTCTCATCCGTGACAGTTAAAGCCTGACTTAACAGCATTCGTTATCAAAGTTTTTCAGATTAGTGAGTCGTCTCAATGACCAAAAAGAAAAACCTTATATGTAATTTATCACTGTGAAAGGGCAGTTTCATATTTTTCACCAAGGAATTCAAAGCTTTAAATGCATATTGTCATCATCACATAGGACAAATCAGCCTGGATACCAATGAGCTTTGATTTTACTCTTGGCTACAGTACTCATAGAACCAAGACTAAGTGCCATTCAGAAGTTTTCTGAGTCACATTTTTACTGTGTATTCCTGACTCGTCTGGAACTTAACTGTGTAGATCAGGTTGGCCTCAAACACAGCAGTTCACCTGCTTCCAAGTGTAGGAACTAAAGATATGCACCAGCAACCCTGGCTTGCCACCTGGAAGATCTTGAACTTACTTGGGTTTCTAGCTTGAAGCTTATCAAGGTGAAAGTCTTTGTGAAGAATGCAATCTGCCTAGAACCCATCTAAGGATCCTCAGAGGCCTGGGTTTCTTTTTTCTGGGGAGGCAGTTCAGGACAGGGTTTCTCTGTGTAATAATAGTCCTAGCTTTCCTGGAACTAGCTCTGTAGACCAGGCCTGCCTCTGCCTCCCAAGTGCTGAGATTAAAGGCGTGCGCTACCACCACATGGGTTTCTGACTTGAGAAATAATGGGAAGGAGCTGGACCTGACCACAGCTGCACAAGGCATGGCCAAACCCCCCAACCTTGACTCAGAGTCTGCCCTTCTTCTTTGATTGGGGAGACTTTGAAATTCTAGATTCTGTGGGCCGGAAGTGTTGGGTAACTGGCTCTAGGAGGATCCGCTTGTTTCTCCGGTGTTACTGAGTATGAGTTTTTGGTGTTTCTCATTGCAGATTCTGACTCCCAGCACAGCCATGAAGTTATGCCTCTCCTCTACCCCCTCTTTGTCTACCTCCATCTCAACCTGGTCCAGAGTGGCCCTAAGAGCACAGTGGAAAGCTTCTATAGCCGCTTCCATGGAATGTTCCTACAGAATGCGAGTCAGAAGGACATCATTGAGCAGCTGCAAACAACGCAGACCATCCAGGACATTCTGTCAAACTTTCAGCTTCGTGCATTCCTGGACAACAAATATGTGGTCCGTCTCCAGGAAGATAGCTACAACTACCTTATCCGCTACCTCCAAAGCGATAACAACACTGCCCTGTGCAAGGTGCTTGCCGTGCACATTCACTTGGACGTGCAGCCTGCCAAGAGGACAGACTACCAGCTATATGCCAGTGGCAGCTCCTCCCGCAGTGAGAGCAGCGGCCTGGAGCCACCAGATGTGCCCAACCCTATTCTGCAGAATGAGGCTGCCCTGGAAGTCTTGCAGGAGAGTATCAAGCGGGTCAAGGATGGACCTCCCTCCCTCACCACCATCTGCTTCTATGCCTTCTATAACACAGAGCAGCTGCTGAAAACTGCAGAGATCTCCTCTGATAGCAAGCTTCTGGCTGCTGGGTTTGACAACTCCTGCATAAAGCTCTGGAGCTTGCGGTCCAAAAAGCTGAAATCAGAGCCCCACCATGTGGACACATCCCGTATCCGTCTAGCTTGTGACACTCTGGAGGAGGAGGTAGGGGTGCCATTTATTCTTTCTTGTAAATCCTTCCTATTAGAGTGTTCATTCTAAACCTGACCTCTCACCAAACAGTACTCTGTAGTCCCCTTCCTAGGCAGCCAAAGCTGGATTCATGCCAGATGATATAGCCATTGAGTCCCACTCATGCCTGATAAATGCACATTAAACCCTTCTCCCAATACTCAACATTATTTATGAGTGGACAGTGTTTACCACTGTCTGAAAAGCAGGTGCCATCATTGAGCCTAACAGATCTTCAGCTGATACTGACTTAGGGATCACATTACATGTCTGTTGTTGTATGCTCTCAAATGTGTACTGTGCAGGTTCAAATAGTGAGAAACAGCATTGGTAGTTAGGGGGTCCACATTTAAACAGTAGTGAATATTGTCTTCCCCTGCAGAAATCTAGGCTGTTTCACAGCCTTGTCCAAAATAAGGACACTGATGTACTGTGTGTCTAGCTCTGTATGCCAAGAGTAGTCTCAGCCCCACTTTGAAAACAGACATGGATTGTAGAACTCTGGTGTCTTCTCAGTCAGTGCAATAACCTGTTGTCAGGTGGAGTGGCTAATCTGGGATGGCCAGTGACCTGAGTTTCAGTTACCAGAGTCACTACTGTATAAAAACTTGGGCTGAGAGAGTTAGCCTTCATGATCAGCATTTCTTGAGCACCCAAATGCTTTTGCATTTCTAATTTGAAGTGTCTGCAGTAGCCATTTTGAGTATTTGTAGACAGACACCAGTGTTTTAACTCCCTCAAGTTTTGTGCACATTGAAAGCAGTTATTTTGCTTTGACTTAGAGTTTTCTAGTAGAAAAAACAGTGCCTACTAAAAAGGTGTTCTTTTCCTGTGCAGTAACCAGCAAAGCTGAGTGTTAAGGAATCTTGATTGTCTTCTAGTGTTACCCATTGTAGTGGAGAGTCACACCTGTATGTTCAGGAGCTTCCCTGTGAGGGAATAGAGGGGAAATGGACTGATAGCCTGCAGCCTTGTGGGAAAGGGCTGTGGGAGCACACTTTATCTCCAAGTGCTATTGTGGACATTTCCTCTGTTTTTTTTTTTTTTTTCCAAAGGTGACATGAGTCACTGGGCTCTATTGTAAGCTTCCCCCCTCCTCACTCTCACTCTCTATGTTAGACCAGGCTGTCCTCAAACTTGGAAACCTAGCTGCCTCTGCTTCCTGAGTGCTGGAATCAAAGGTATGCGCCACCATGCCTTACTGTCTTTCTCAGTCTATGGTTTACTTTAGGAGATACGGATGAGACTCTCCCTTCCTATCCTTTTTTTTGTTTTGTTTTTTTGTTTTGTTTTACTGCACCCCCACCCCCAAGTCTATGTAATATCAAAATCTTGATGGTCCTCCTGAGTCCTGGCACTGTAGACATAAGTCACCATATGCAGCTTTTATCTGTCAGTGTTCATGGTCTATTGGTAGCTGTATTCTCTGACTCAAAGTTCCTATGCAATTTTGTTTTGGCTCAGGTTCTTGAGATTCTTCTAAAGCAGATCTTCCTGCTTTAGCTTTCTTGGTACTGTAATCACAGTGTATACTACCGGGCCTATCTCTAGATTTCATTAAATGTAATAGAAATGGAATAACTTGGCTACAAAATGATAAGAGCTGATGGCTGAAGAGAGCTCCATTAAGGAGAATCTATGAACTTTATATAAATTCAGAAGTCAGTGTTTTCAAAAGAATGAATAGTAGATGTCCCACAGGCTTGCCTTTCAGTCATATCCTCATTCGAAAATTAAGACTCACAAAAAGTATTTATCTTCAGTCTGATGTGGCCTATGGTTGGGCATGGTCAGCTGGAGTGGCCATGAAGGGCACACCCTCTGACAGGCCCTGCTCTCTACCTTTCCTCTTTCAGACTTATATTTCTTTTTTTGTTTGTTTGTTGGGTTGGGTTTTGGGTTTGGTTGGTTGGTTTGTTTGTTGTTTTTCGAGACAGGGTTTCTCTGTGTAGCTTTGGAGCCTATCCTGGCACTCTCTCCGTAGACTAGGCTGGCCTCAAACTCACAGAGATCTGCCTGCCTCTACCTCCTGAGTGCTGGAGTTAAAGGCGTATGCCACCAATGCTCAGCTCAAGCTTATATTTCTTGTGAGACCACTGAATATTTTCTTCTTGTGTGTTTTACCACCCCACCCACCATGTTCCAGGAGAGTGAGGAGGATAATACAGGCACAGAGATGAAGATCCTGCGAGGACACTGTGGCCCAGTGTACAGCACAAGGTTCCTCGCAGACAGCTCGGGGCTGCTCTCTTGTTCTGAAGATATGTCCATCAGGTACTGGGACCTAGGGAGCTTCACCAACACTGTGCTGTATCAGGGACATGCCTACCCTGTATGGGATGTGGACATCAGCCCCTACAGCCTATATTTTGCCAGTGGGTCCCATGACCGTACTGCCAGGCTGTGGTCTTTTGATCGGACGTACCCGCTGAGGATATATGCAGGACACCTGGCTGACGTGGACTGTGTCAAATTCCACCCCAATTCAAACTACTTGGCAACAGGTTCCACTGACAAAACTGTCCGGCTGTGGAGCGCCCAACAGGGGAACTCAGTGCGGCTATTCACGGGTCACCGAGGTCCCGTGCTTTCCCTTTCCTTTTCTCCCAACGGTAAGTACTTGGCATCCGCTGGTGAGGACCAGCGGTTAAAGTTGTGGGACTTGGCCTCTGGGACGCTTTTTAAAGAACTGAGAGGCCACACGGACAGTATCACCAGTCTGGCCTTTAGCCCAGACAGCGGTCTGGTTGCCTCTGCCTCCATGGACAACTCTGTACGTGTCTGGGACATCAGAAGCACGTGCTGCAACACACCTGCTGATGGCTCTTCGGGTGAGCTCGTGGGCGTGTACACTGGACAGATGAGCAATGTCTTGAGTGTACAGTTCATGGCCTGCAACCTCCTCCTGGTGACTGGAATCACACAAGAGAATCAAGAACATTAATTTCTTAATTCAGGTGGCAGACTTGGTGGGGCTGGAAAACTGGTCACAGTCCAGGACTTGCTAAAACTGAATCAGAGGTCCTAGGTTCAATTCCCAGCAACTACATGGTGGCTCACAACCATCCACAGAGAGATCTGGTGCCCTTTTCTGGCCTGCAGGCATACATGCAGTCAGAACACTATACATAATAAAATGAATAAATCTTAAAAAAAAAAAGACTTTTAAGGAAAAAGACAATAAATTATGATGCTTTCATCTTTGGGGCAGATTAGAATGTCACGTCTCAGAGCACGCCCTGGCCGCAGCATCGCTCGGCCTAGCCCGCAGGGACCTGGCTAGCAGGTGCGCGGGGCAGCAGGAACCGCCTGCGATGTTCAGTCATGAAATGAGCGCGCAAGGAGCAGGTTCGGGAGGCAGTGTCCTGCTACCTCAAACGCCGGCAGTATGTGGACTCAGAAGGCCCCTTGGAGCAAGGCCTGAGACTATCACAGACCCCTGAGGAGATGGCAGCCAACCTCACAGTCCAATCAGAATCTGGTTGTGCCAAGGCGGTGTCTGCTGCCCCTTGCCAGGCAGAACCCCAGCAATATGAAGTACAGTTTGGACGACTGAGAAGCTTTCTTTCTGATTCTGACTCCCAGCATAGCCATGAAGTTATGCCTCTCTTCCTTTGTCTACCTCCACTTCAACCTGGTCCAGAGTAGCCCCAAGAGCACAGTGGTAAGCTTCTATAGCCGCTTCCCTGGAATGTTCCTACAGAATTCGAGTCAGAAGGACATCATTGAGCAGCTGCAAACCACATAGATCATCCAGGACATTCTGTCAAACTTCCAGCTTCATGCATTCCTGGACAACAAATATGTATGTGGTCAGTCTCCAGGAGGATAGCTACAACTACCTTATCCGCTACCTCCAAAGCGATAACAACACTGCCCTGTGCAAGGTGCTTGCCGTGCACATTCACTTGGACGTGCAGCCTGCCAAGAGGACAGACTACCAGCTATATGCCAGTGGTAGCTCCTCCCACAGTGAGAGCAGCGGCCTGGAGCCACCAGATGTGCCCAACCCTATTCTGCAGAATGGGGCTGCCCTAGAAGTCTTGCAGGAGAGTATCAAGCGGGTCAAGGATGGACCTCCCTCCCTCACCACCATCTGCTTCTATGCCTTCTATAACACAGAGCAGCTGCTGAAAACTGCAGAGATCTCCTCTGATAGCAAGCTTCTGGCTGCTGGGTTTGACAACTCCTGCATAAAGCTCTGGAGCTTGCGGTCCAAAAAGCTGAAATCAGAGCCCCACCATGTGGACACATCCCGTATCCGTCTATCTTGTGACACTCTGGAGGAGGAGGAGAATGAGGAGGATAATACAGGCACAGAGATGAAGATCCTGCGAGGACACTGTGGCCCAGTGTACAGCACAAGGTTCCTCGCAGACAGCTCGGGGCTGCTCTCTTGTTCTGAAGATATGTCCATTAGGTACTAGGACCTAGGGAGCTTCACCTGTGCTGTATCAGGGACATGCCTACCCTGTATGGGATGTGGACATCGGCCCCTACAGCCTGTATTTTGCCAGTGGGTCCCATGACCGTACTGCCAGGCTGTGGTCTTTTGATCGGACGTACCCGCTGAGGATATATGCAGGACACCTGGCTGACGTGGACTGTGTCAAATTCCACCCCAATTCAAACTACTTGGCAACAGATTCCACTGACACAGCTGGCTCTTCGGGTGAGCTCGTGGGCGTGTACACTGGACAGATGAGCAATGTCCTGAGTGTACAGTTCGTGGCCTGCAACCTCTTCCTCGTGACTGGAATCACACAAAAGAATCAAGAACATTATTTTTTTAATTCAGGTGGCAGACTTTGTGGGGCTGGAAGACTGGTCACAGTCCAGGACTTGCTAAAACTGAATCAATGATTACAAAAGAGCCCTCCCCTACCCCACACTCACCCAACACAGCTCTGGTGCACAAGACTCCAGTTGAGAGCTGTATGCTCAGGCTTGATGCCTCCTGGCTCTATGCAGGCACCTTGCTTTTGCATTTCCCTCTTCCCAGTAGGGTTACTGGAACAGTTGCAGAACTCCTCTGTAGCAGCTGTAGACAGTGTCTCCTGTGGCTACCCCTCAAGGGAAGTGGTGACAGGGACTAGGAAAGGAAGGGATGATCTAGCAGTCTTTCTTTTCCATAATGATAGAACCAGGATTTTTTATTATTATTAATAATAATTATTATTATTGAGGAGGAAACCTAGCATTGGCAGAGGTGTCTCTGCTTCTGTCTGCAGGTTTGACTCCTGGCACTGGCTATGATACTTGGAATTTTGAGGTTCAGGGAATTCAGACTTTGGTAGCCCATGTATCAGGAGAAAGGGGTACCATATAATGTGCTTTTGCAAGCAGGCAGGTAGCTTAACTGAACATTGAGCTCTTGCAGTGATGGTGGGAGAGAAAGATTCTTTTACTGGCTGCACTCTGTCAGTACTTCTCTACCCTAGAAGAAATATTATGGTGGGCAGAGGATGGGCCTCAGCACTTGAGTCGATTGTCCAAGGTTCCATCCCTAGCACCATCAACAAAATTATGATAAAGAATAATTTTGAATAAATCTCAAAATAGGCTTAAAAGCTGGATTTCCAGATGACTGTTTATTCTGAGATGTGGCTTTTTGGTGTCTTTTTCTCCCTCAATGATCTGCTTCCACCCCTCACTGCAGTACCAGTATAGTGAACACAGGAATGAATCATGAGTGCACACTCAGCAAATATCAAACCATGTTTTAAGGACAAAGGAAGTTCTAATGTGTGGAAACGGATTAAATATTTCTGTTTTCTGAAAAGAGTTATTTTGTATTTTGTTTTCTATTAAAATGTATTTAGTTTCAAAAAAATAAGTGTGGCATCTCATTTATACTCTCAGAATACTTGTATCACTGGTCCTTCAGAGTAGTGACCAGAGCATAGGCAAGATCGGCCACAAAGCAGGTATGGTGGTCTGTTTTTGTATTCTTCTGAATTTACTTTTCATCATGTTCTTCCTGGCATCCAGTTGGATTACCAACAGCAGTAAAACATCCAATGTTGCTACCTGTTGATGAGAGATGAACATCTCTTTAGGAGGATCCCCACTTTAGCTTCCTTGAAAAAAATCACATTGTAGCTGGATGTGTTGGTGCACATCTTTAATCCCGACACTTGGAAAGCCAATAGTGTGGCAGCTGCCCAAGTCACCCCAGTAAAACCTGTTCATCAAGCTGGACTTGAATAGTTTCTTCTGGACTGTCATTGTTCTCTCAGGACTGAAGAGAAATACTCTCAGGAAGAGACAACACACTGTGAAACACTGGGTCTTCATTAAACATTCATAAAGCATGGTTAAAATCATCATTAGCATTAATTAGTGTTAAAATCCTTAAGTTCTAATTTGCTCATTTTTGAGCAAATTTGAGCATCATTCTAATGATGCTCATTTTTCTGTCAATAAGATGTTGATAGGAAAATTTGACTTCCTTATTGATAGCTATTGGACTCTCTTGCCACCCTAGCTACCTTGAGCAAAAGGACTGTCAGCCTAACAGCCAGCAAGACTATACTTATGCCAGCACTGCTGTTTTTAACACATTACACATGCCTTGAAGAAACCACACAACTACATCTATTTCTTTGGCTCCTGAAGGTATAACAATCCAGGACTGTTTCAAATAGTACTGGACTTTTGTGTAATAATCGTCACTGAACTCTAGGTAACCCTCCACCTGGAGAGAAGCAGCCTCTCCACCTGGGTCAGAGCGGGAAGCACTTTGTCTGGTAGCAGCAAAGATTGCTGTGTCTGGTAGAAAAGAGTGCTATGACTGGCACAAATACAAACCTTCATTTGCATACATGTTTTTCTGTGGTTGGTTGGTACAAATATCTCTTTGGCTATATAATAAGCATTTAAGCAGCCTGTTCAGTTAGTTCCCTTGGTAAGCTGGCTGGGGAACCCTCCCATGCTGCTTTTCTTAGTGTTGCACAATGGATCCAAATGTTTCTCTTGAATCATCTTTCTTACTTTTAGTATAGCTACAGAAGCAATGGAGTGGTCTGCTCCATTGACAGCTAAAGAAGAGGCAGAGCATCTGGTTGCATTGAAAGCTGCCAAAGAGGCAAAGCTTCAAAACTAGCAGTTGACAAAGGTAGAAGCAGCAGCAGCAGAAGAGTGGCATTTACTACCTCCTGAACAGTAGCAACTTCGACAGAAGCCAGAACAAGAGGCAGTTGAGCCCCTCTAAAGAGTGGCCAGAGCCAGGAGCAAGAAGGATAATGATGGAGTTGGGCATGGTGGTACAACAAGCCTATAGTCCCGGCAACACAGAAGTCTCAGGCAAGAAGATTGCCCCAAGTTCAAAACCAGTCTAAAACTGAAGAGGTAGCTCAGTGGTTAAGAGCTCTGCTCTTCCAGAGTACCCAGAGCACCCACATGGCAGCTCACAACTACCTGTAACTCCAGTTCCAGGAATCTGACATTCGTCTGGCCTCTCTGGGCACCAGGCATGCATGTGGCATACAGACATACATTCAGGCAAACACCCATCCACACAAGTTAAAAATAAATCCTACCCCCCCCCTTTTTTTAAGATCTTTAAGGAAAAAAAAAAAAAAAAAAAGCCGGGCGGTTGTGGCACACACCTTTAATCCCAGCACTCGGGAGGCAGAGGCAGTCGGATATCTGTGAGTTCGAGAGCAGCCTGGTCTACAGGAGCTAGTTTCAGGACAACCTCCAAAGCCACAGAGGAACTGTGCTTTGAACTCCCCCCCCCCAAACACCTCCCACCCAAAAGAGAGATGCCAAAAGATTCCATTCTTCAGATGTAGGTTGGCCATCTTGCCTCATTCCTGTAGTGTCATCACTTAGAAAGCTGGTGCCAGAGGGTTGCCCCAGTTTTAGGCCAGCCTGAGCTACATTGTGAGATTCTGACCAAAGAGGAGGGGAGGACACGTAGAAACAGAGCAGAGCTGGGGTTAAAGAAGACAGTGAATAGCTGGGCATTGGTGGCTCATGCCTTTAATTCTAGCACTCGGGAGGCAGAGG